CAGTCTCTTCTGCTGCTTGGATATCGGAGCTTCAACAACCGTTTGCTTCTTCTTATCCTGGCGGACCTTTTCGGCCAGGTCAGCCGCTGTCCGTCGGTGTTTGACCCCAGTAACAGTAGCTAGCCCGCGGCTGTGACATGGTTGACAGTATACCTGCTGATTAAATCGAGACGTGAGTTTGAAGAGTCCGAAAGCCCAGGCACATGTCGGAACTATTCTTACGCAGCTCTTCATGATATATCAGCATGGACGTCTTTAATTTTAGACTGAAAAAAAAACTATACAGCCTGAAACATGCGGTGTTTACTATCCAACTACTTCCGTGTCACAGCTTTCGGAATAAAAGCAAATCTTACCACCATACAAAAATGACCTTTATAAAAACACATTTTGGCGGAATAATTATATACGAGATGTTAAAAAATCACACCAGTGTTGGTTTATTCACTGCGTATGGTGCCATTTTCTGTACAGAACGCTAAATATTATGATTAGTTTTTATTATTTTGTAAATCTAAGACATACGCAATTTCCCTTACCCTTCGTTTGAGGAAAGCTCGTTTCTGACGCCTCTACGTCGCGGTCGCTTTTGTCTTTTGAATGAGCTTGCCGTAAACACCGCCCACCTTGTATACCACCATACGCAAAACCATGCATTACGTAGCCCCTGAATACTGTTGTATTACAGTAACGGGGATGTAGCATGTTGTACATCATGTATTGTGACAATTTGGCGTATTTATAAAACAGACTAAGCATATTTTTGTGTAGACTTTAAGGGGACATGGGTCCCCCATTGCCCCGTCAGCCTAAACGACAGAAATGGCATTATAGCCTCGTGAAATCACAAGAATAGAGCATTATTTTTTCGCGAAGTTGCACTCTGTCCTGTTGCAGATATGAGGATCACAGACAGTGTAATACGGAGCTTCCGAGTGGCCAGAACATATAAAGAAAACTCAGAGAAAATCAACTGTGTGGATTACAGTCCGAACGGAGAAAGCGCCATATCCAGCAGCGACGACGACTGCATCGTTTTATATGACATTCAAGAAGGAAAGTGAGTTGACTCAGTGTTGTAGTTTGTATATAGTTATAAAGTGTATTTTTAATATATATGTAGTAAAGTCACAGTTTAGTTAAGCCAATCATATGTTTTCCAATATTGCACATTATTTGCACATGGTACAGTGATTGTAGTGACTTAAAAGTTTACTTAGCAAAACAATAGTGTTTTTTAATCTTGTTTCCTTTTTTTATATCTCATTTTAAGTTCTTTACAACAGTCAAAGTATTGTTGGATACGTTGTAAGGTTGTAGTCAAGGTTGAGCAGCACCACTCTACCTCGAATTCTGTTCCACAACCTGCCAATAAATGGACAAAGGCAGAACAATTTATGGAACAATCGGAACAATTGAACCGATATTTTTTGCAGCACAAATTTGGGAGTTTATTTAAGCTGTCATGTGATCTGATTTTCCAAAAATAACCCGTGTCTTCTCCCAGACCAAAACGTACTCTATTCAGCAAGAAGTATGGCGTGGACCTCATCCGCTACACTCACGGGGACGCGCAGTGTGTTGTTTACACCTCCAACAAAATCAACGGTAATAACTCACGACACTCAACTCATTATTTAAAAGCCTATTCATCTCAGTGCAACGACACGTTTAAATGCACAGGTTTTTGCATGTTATTCAAGTGTTTTATGTATTTCAGATACCATACGGTACCTGTCCTTAAGTGACAACAAATTCATCCGATATTTCCCAGGACACACTGCGAGGTGAATATGAATCAGTTTAACCGTCTTCTAACCAGGTTCCATCCATCCATCAATCCGTCCATCTTCAACCGCTTATCCGGGGCCGGGTCGCGGGGGCAACAGTCTGAGCAGGGACACCCAGACTTCCCTCTCCCTCGACACTTCCTCCAGCAATTCTGGGTTGACCCCAAGGCGTTCCCTGGGCCAGCCGAGCGACCCAGTCGCTCCAGCGTGTCCTAGGTCTTCCCCTCGGTCTCTTCCTAGAGGTGCCGCACCCGAGCACCTCCCGAGGAAGGCGTCCGGGGGGCATGCGATGTAAATGCCCAAGCCACCTCAGCTGACTCCTCTCGATGTGGAGGAGCAGCGGCTCTACTTCGAGCTCCTCTCGTGTGACAGAGCTCCTCCCCCTATCTCTGCCACCCTGCGGAGAAAGCTCATTTCAGCCGCTTGAATACTTGGGCTCGTTCTTTCGGTCATGACCCACAGCTCATGACCATAGGTGAGGGTAGGAACGTAGATTGACCGGTAAATTGAGAGCTAAGCCGAAAGGCGAAGCGCCTTCTTCACCACAACGGACCGATACAGCGACCGCTTTACTGCGGCCGCGGCACCGATCCGCCTGGCAATCTCACGCTCCATCCTACCCTCACTCGTAAACAAGACCCCCAGATATTTAAACTCCTCCACCTGAGGCAGGACTTCCTCCCCAACCCGAAGGGTGCATACCACCTTCTAACCAGGTTGTCAGATTCAAACAAAAGACAAACAAACATTGTTTTATATATATATATGTGTGTGTTCTGTTCTATATTATGGTTTCAGGGTCATGTCTCTAATGTCATTACCGGTAGACGACACTTTTATCTCCGGCTCACTGGACAGGACGATCCGAATCTGGGACCTCCGTTCTCCTAACTGTCAGGTACAGACGTCGTCAATATTTAAATGATGCTCCCGGCTTTGATACTACTACAATTCTGTCCTGTTACCACTAGGTGTCCTCAGATCTGCTTTAATATATGCAACTCAAATCTAACCTGGACCAACAAAACTTTTTTTTTTTAATGTCATTAACAGTGATTCAGCGAGAGGAGACACGTAGGAATAAAGTGTTATTTTGAAGTCTGAAAAAAATAAGAATTTTTTAATGTTTAAGTATTTGACCTTTTTTGTTTCTTTCATCATTTTTTTAGGGTTTGACGAATCCACTGGGGAACCCCGTCTGCTCCTTTGACCCTGACGGACTGATATTTGCTGCAGGGGTGGAATCACAGACCATTAAACTCTACGACCTACGTGCTTTTGACAAGGTGAAAAACACGATTAAAAGAAATAGATATAAACGTCACTAAAATCACAGCATTACTGGATTAGAGAACCGGTTTTCACTGTGTAAATTTGAAGCATCAGTGGGTTTTTTTTCTCCTCTCGAAGGGTCCGTTTGCCTCTTTTGAGACGAGGTTCAATCGCAGCTGTGACTGGACCGGACTGAAGTTCAGTTATGATGGGAAACAGATCCTCGTCTCTACAAACGGTGGGATGATACGAGTCCTCGATGCCATCAGTGGATCTGTGCTGCACACCTTCTCCGTACGAGATGAAAACTCACCTCGTATTTAATAATTAGCACGTGTTTGTCAATAAAGCAGCTAACAGACATTTTAATGTTTACTTCAAGGGCTACAACAACAGCAGAGGAAACTCCCTGGAAGCCTGCTTCACCCCTGACTCCATGTTCGTGATGATTGGTGAGTTAAAACAAAAACCTAATGTGAGAATAACGTATACGTATATATTTATTATTGAACGCTCTGTTTTCCGACTGTTGCCCATGGAAACGTATCCTGTGTCTTGTTTGCCAGGCTCGGAGGACGGGAGGGTCCACGTGTGGAGCACCGACAGTGGGATGAAGGTGGCCGTGTTGGATGGGAAACAAGGACCCATCAACACACTGCAGTTCAATCCCAGATTCATGACGTTTGCCAGCGCCTGCAGCACCATGGTGAGCTGATCAAACGTCAGCTGGGCTGTGGACCCACGGATGAAAAGAGAATGAATGAAAATCTGTATTTTTCCTTATTTATTTATTTTTTTTACAGACCTTTTGGCTTCCTTGTGTCGAAGACTCGTAGAGGAAGTGACTTTTTTTCAAACGACGCCACCATGCTGTGGTTCAGGGTCGTCTTTAATGCACAGAACTACATTTTAGGATTTTTTTTAGAATGTTTTAAGAATTTAAAACACTATGTCAAATATTTTAAAAAGCAGTATTTTTAACTGGACTAAAAGTCTATGTAAATAGGTTTTAATCGTCTTTTACTGTATTGTGTGTTTTTTAACTGGTCACCTTCATTTCTTTGTACTTTTTACTCATTTTAATTGGACTTTTTTTTACAATAATATTTTATATGTTTATATTATTTATATATATTATTACTATTTTTAACACCAACTCCAGTCTACTTAAACATTACTTGTCTGACTACCAAATCCACTAACTAATACAGAAATAAGAAATACATGCACTTCCACAGGAGACTTGAATGATGACATCACTGTGATGTCATTAGTGATGAACCAAACTTCAAATAAAAAACTTTTTTTTTTATTTTTAATTTAGAAAAAATTGTTGTTATTATTATTATTATTATTATTACACAGCTTGGTGATGAAGCAGATGTAGATGTAATCAGAAGTGAGTAAACAAAGGTGAAGCAGCAGATGTAATCAGAAGTGAGTAAACAAAGCCGTGGACGTGCTGGTGTGTGATGAGAGACGGACCGATTTAATCCGTTTGGTGAGCGGATGTTTTTCCTTTTTTTGTAAACACAAAGTTTGTCTTCCTGAGGCAGAAGAGGGGGAGGGGGCTCTGCTGAATAATGTATAGTTGCTTGGGTTGTGTACTCACCAGTGAGTGAATAATGAATGATCCCATCACAGTTAACCTCACAGGTACACACTTATCTCTCTCTCTCTCTGAACAACCTCCGTGTCTGTGTGTGTCACTGAGGGAGGACGAGAGAAGAGGAAGATTTTAAAACATTTGTCTTTGACTCCTCGGATGAACAGGAGCGACATTTACAGTGCAGTGTGAATTTTAAGAGCCTGAGGAAAATGTCGTGAAGTAAAAATACTGGTCTCATTCATCAGTATTTCTTCCCTGTACTCGTCAACATCAAGGAAACCAGAATGCAGCCCCAAACCTACCAGTAACCAGCACCGTGTTTCTCTGTTCTTGACTTTCTGTCTTTGTAGAAGGTTTGGCTTCTCAGCTGCAGTTCCTCCATGATGATTGGTCAGGATCTCTGGACACTTATTGGTCAGACAAGTTGATATAGAATATAAAAAGAATGAGCACTGAAACAGTCACTCATTTTCTCATGTTTTAAGTTAAGTTTAAAGCTGAGTATTAATGTAAAAATCCCTCAGTGCAAAGACTGTTCTTTTTTGTTTTTTAAATGTGATTCAATCAGTACATATACTGCTGCCACCTCTGAAAAATTCCTACTCCCGTCTCAGACCTTAAATGCATCCCTAAATCTCCCAGTGTGAAGGAATCAAACCTTTAATTTTTTTTATCTACTAACTGCCCCTACAAACACGTCATTAACTGTTAATGGAACCTTTTTCATCCACAGAACTCTTCAAGGACGAACCACCTCAGCCTTCGTTATGACATCATATCAATCAGTCTGATTGGAGTCACGTTACTGTGAGGTGACGGCTTCTTAAAAACTACTGTACTAAAACCATGAGCAGTGACCATGACCCCCCCCCACAGCCCTCTCACCCCCCACACACCGAGACATTTTAAAGCTGTGGTCATCGATACGCAAAGAGTTTTAGATCAGCGGTCAGGGTGGCATATCCATTGTCAGGCACATTATTACTCATCAGCCACAGTTCCGCAGATTGTGTTTCAAGTGTTAGGAATCTCCCAAGTCACCCTGAAGGCGTTTATGTCACAGGTGTGTGTGGGTCCATCTGTCTGCCGCCAGTGGAGAGGCAGCCGACCTGCCGAGCGACAGACACGGACCTGGAGCTGAGGAGCACTGACAGCCGACTGCCAAAAAGATGTCACACCAAACAGGAATTAATGGTGAGTTCTGTTTTTTACTAAACACGCTTTTTCTTATACACACAGAAAAAGAACATTTTGTTTTGTCCAAAGTTTGGTTTTCTATGATTTTGACTTAAACACAACATCCTCACAAACCCACCTGTAACGTTCTTGGATTTTTTTATTTTTTTTTCATACTGTCTGTTGAGCTAAAAAGTTTTCAAACCTGTTTTTTTTTTATTTTAACCTATTTATTTGATTAGCATAAGAGGCTAAAAGAAAAGCTAATTGGAAACATGTATGAGATTCTACACTGGATTATAATGTTATAATGAACATGTTTATGATCTACAATATTTTTTTTACCATAATTGTGACATTGGGAACTTTTGTAGCTGTGTCTACTGTACATTTGCGTGTTATGGCATTTGGTAACCGGAGCATTGGGGGACAGGGTGGCGGAAGCATAGCTCTCTCACCTTCCTCACCCGATCTTCCATTATTGATGAAGCCACCTTGTTTGGTAACCATGGCAACAGGCAGAGTGGGGGTTACAGAAACGGCGAAATCTAGGTTTCTGAGCCAAATTGACCTTGAAGGAGTGGACATTCTGAGACGGACGATTTAGTTTAGACGATTTTTGCCAAAACTCCGTTTCTCTCTGACTTCCACGTCCGTCTGTGTCCGACCTGAGTCACTTAAGGTGATAGTGTGACTACCTGGCAGTGGATCAAATTTTCTCCCTGAAGTGGATCTCAGGTTCTTACTTACCCGACTCTGTCTCACTTGCTTTACCCCCCCCCCACCCCCCCATCCTCAGTTTTGATTGGTCTGCCTCATATCTCGTTTCTTTAGCAACATCTGAGCTGAAACAGTTTCTGGCTCGGGCAAAGGGAGGTGCCATCCGAATCATGAAGATTGTCATCAGAAACGGTAAGCTGTGCGGTGTTTAGGCGAATGACATCACTTCCTGTCGTTGGGCTGCTCCAAGCCTGTGTCTGTGTGCAGAGGAGTTGGTGCTGGATTCCTTCAGAGAGCCTGGACACAGCTGGGACAAAGACTACGACCAGTGCCTGCTCCCTCTGCTCACGCCGCAGGAGCCGTGCTACATCCTGTATCGCCTGGACTCCCAGAATGCACAGGGATACGAGTGGATCTTTGTCGCCTGGTCCCCTGACCACTCACCAGTACGTCTGGGACTTCATGTTGAGCCACAAACACAAACACAAACACAAACAAACGACTACAACAGATTTAAGTAAAACTGAACAGATTTTATTCCAAAGAAGTTGACAATTTGTTTTATACATTTTAATATATTCAAAACTAAATATATAAACCATGTACATGTCGTGTGTCAGAATAATAATCTGGACCTACGAATTAAAGGAAAATGTTTTACCAGTGAAACCAACAAAATTAAATTAAATTAAATTAAATTAAATTAAATTAAATTAAATTAAATTAAATTAAATGAAATTAAATTAAATTAAATTAAATTAAATTAACGGTCATAAAAAATAAAGAAATATTAAATGTGAAGCAAAAAATAGAAATGATGTTTCAGTCATTGAAGGTTAAATTAACCTGCAGAAAAAATAAAACTGATATGAAAATTAATTAATTAAGTAAAAACAGATGACCTCAGATCCCAAAGAGAGTGAGTTTAGTTTCTCCTGTCTGTGTTGCGGTCCATCAGGTGAGGCAAAAGATGATGTACGCAGCCACACGTGCCACGCTGAAGAAGGAGTTCGGTGGAGGTCATATTAAAGACGAGATGTTCGGCACGTTGGAGGTGAGGAGACGACTTTGCCCCAAAGGTTCTTGGGAAATCTTTGTGACTAAATAAATGATCCTGTCGTGTTGGCGTTTCTTTGTCCACAGGAGGACGTGTGTTTTCAGGGATATTTGCGACACATGTCTTCCTGCTCCTCACCAGCGCCCCTCACTGCAGCTGAGAGGGAATTACAACAGATCAAAGTCACAGAGGTGCGGTTTAAACTGGCCGAAATAAAAGAACAGTTTCATCTGATGCACAGAGTAATGTCTCAGTCTTTCTGACTGAATGTCTGTCTTTTTTATCTGCAGGATAAAGTAGTGTGGGTATGTCCATTTTTACTCCTTTAACAGATGTGTGTGTGTGTGTGTGTGTGTGTGTGTGAGTGACGCAGGAGAGGAGGAAACATTTCAAACATATGTCTGTGTCTCCACAGGATGAACGCAGACGAACTGGAACGCCGACAGCCAGAGCGAAGGTCGGTCCAGCCTCAGAGACAGATTTCCTGGTTTTATAAAATGATTCCAGTGATGAATTCACTGAAGAGTTTTTTTTAAATCCCACAGGTGACGATGGAGTTTGGCCTCGACCGGAGGGCACAGGCTCTGCAGGGCCTCGCATTCCCCTTACAAGAAGAAGCCAAACGAGCTCTGCAGCAACTCAAGCAGAAACGTATAAACTACATTCAGCTAGTGAGCCACGACCATGAACACTCTCTGCTTCTACTCACTGTTTACTCCTCAAACCAGGGCGACAGGCGGCTCTGAGAACGCCTTCAAATACCCTCAGATGCAGCTAAGACATTACAGTGGAGTGAAAGACACAAAACAACATTT